AGTGTATAGATGCATCATGGTTTCCTCCTTGTTTTAAGTTTTGCTAGGTAGCTCCTTTTGGAGTTTCGCCATTGATGTACATGTACATGTGCATACATGCATCTTGGTACCAAGATCAGCTTGAAACTTGGCACACCGGGGCTACCCACCAAAGCAAATCATTGGAGATTCTGAAAGCGGTTCGACTGAGGTGGAGATGCACTTGAAACAAGCTGGCAAGATGGTGGCCCATAGCATCCACCTGGCAGAATGTGTTGGTTGAGCTTCGCTTGATAGATGGGCGTGAACCACATGGGCCCATTTGCAGAGCCCCGAATGCAAATGGTAGCTTTACAAAGAGGCCATTGTGGAGTTTTTGCATTTATGTATGTGGGTAAACAGAATCAAGCGAAAGGAACAGGCACCATCTTGTTTTCCACAGGCTTCAAGATCTGGCTTTGTTTTCTTGCAAGTGAGGGGTTGCCCATTCTGCCAGCTTTGGCGGGTTGCGCATGGCAGTGCAATAGGTAAGCAAGTTCATGATTCGCGATACTGCAGACTGCAGATTCAAAAATGAAGAATGTTCGCTAGTCTACGACATGTTTCTTCTGCCCACCACCCGTAGATGTTCTTCCCGCAGGCGCCTTTTCTTGTCCTGAGCTTTGCTATGTAGCTCCTTATGGGGTCTTGACATTTACGTATATGTACAAGTGTACAGATGCATCATGGTGTCTTCCTTGTTTTCGGCTTTTCTAGTTAGCACCTTCTGGAGTTTTTGCATTTGTTATATATATATATATACGCCAAGTATACATATGTACCGTGGTTTCCTCCTACCAGAAGGCTTGAAACTTGGCGCACCGGGCTATTTACCAGAGCCATTGGATACTTTGGAAGCGGTCAGACTGAGGTGGAGATGCACAAAATGCGCTTGAAACAACATGAGCACAGGCCACCATGAGCCGTGGAGTTTTGCAAGCTGGCCACTTGCAGCAGCTCTACACACTCAAGCCGAAGAAGCCATAGAAGCCACAAAGGCCACCGAAACCAAAAGCCACCAAAGCCACAAAATGCACAGAGGCTACAAAAGCCACAGAAGCCACAGAAGCAACGATAAAGGAAGCCAAAAATAGAGACAAACAAAATGTAGGAACCAGGACGCTACTAGGAGCAAAGGGCATCGCTACTAAGGAGCAAGGACGCTACTAGGGGCTCCTGGCCATACTACTAGGAACAAGGACGCTACTAGCATCGCCCTCCATTCCTGGGGTCCAGCGATGTAGAGCATCCCTCGCCTGGCCAATTGGCCGCACTGTTAAAGCCTTGGCACAGCCGAAGAGTCAGGTCTGGTTCCGATGGAACTCTGGTTTTGTCCAACAAGACCCTCATTGCGCTGCCCAAACAGCTCCAGACCATCTGTGTAAAGCTGTGCTTTGGAAGAGGGAGCCCGATCTTGGGTATATTCCAGGCAGCATTCTGAGGGGTTCCAAGTTCAAACCCAACAATTTGCAACACCTGAACATTCTGAAACGTTTGCTGTTAAGAAAGAACCTCACTAGAAAAGTCATCAGATCACCTCACAGCCCATGTCATCAAACACACCTCATTTCAGAAAAATCCACTCCAACTGTCAGCTGCTCCTCCACTCCACCTTATCAAAACCCCAGCCGAACACTAGCCAACACTCTTTGGCAAAGCACGTGAGCGGGGAGCAGAGACTTCCGCATCGAGGTCCAAACCAAGTTGTGAACCTCATCGCCATCGGCGTTTTTTGGACGCAATGGAACGTTGGACTACATGACGCAGGCATCACAGCATGTTTACACTGCTACTTTGGTTGAGATACAGGAAATTGGTCAAAGAGGAGATGTGGTCTGAGGTACTCTTGAACTTGTTTCCTCTCGAGTGGTGATTTCAGTGAGTCCCCTTTCTTTAAAGTCATGTGTACAGCCCAAGGCAACTGTGAATGCAGAATCATACGGCAACCCTGCAAGGTCAAGTCGATCGCGTGTTTGAGCGCTTTGGTTCGCCAAGTTCTGGCTCACAAAGCAAATGCTCATTCTCCCAAAGCAATGGGCTACACTTAGCTCCACTGCTAGCCACCCAAAAAGCATGAGCCATAGATTAACTGATTAACATGAGCCATGGTGAGGGTATTTTAGTCATGTTTGTCCCCAACAAGGCATCTTTGCAGCATTGTTTCTTCACACACGCTAAGAACCCCTTCAATTCAAGGGGTGAGCGAGACGCTTGCTAGGGGCGCTTGAAGGTTGGATGTCACGAACCTACTAGTGATGGCCTCCAACCTACTAGCGTCCTTGCTCCTAGTAGCGATGCCCTTTATTACTATATAGTAGTTTCTTGCTCTTGGTGATATGGCCAGGAGCCCCTAGTAGCGTCCTTTGCTCCTACTAGTGATGGCCTCCAACCTACACTCTCGAAAGTCAAAGATGTCGACGTCGATGTCAACGATGCAAGTCCACGCGAAGCATCTTGTGCGTCGTCGGAATGATCTTGTGAACAAAAGTGCCGCTACCGATTGATAGTCATGGCACCATCTCGAGCTACCTCTCAAAGCTCCACTATGAAACTCTGCAACAAAGGTAGAACTGGCTGAGGCCACTCTTCAGGTGAAATCCGGGCGCCGGCCACGCGTTCCGTGCCCTAGCCGGAGGCCATCGGTTGGTAACCGAAGGACCTCCCCCCCAGTCACCCTGGCAACATAAGCCAACAACCCTGGCAACATAGGCCAACATACGGACAGGATGACCTAACATCGGCCAACATGTGGCAACATGGATGTGGTGATGGATGTGAGGTCGTTTTAGAAGGCCCGTGGTGCGAGATATGCTGCCCGAGTGGCCTTGCATTATTAGCACGGTGTTCTTTAGCTGGCTCTCTGGCTCTTTTCTTCTACCGGAGGAGAAAGAGCACGGACTGGACATGTCCGAAGACTATGTGCTTTATGGTGTTTTCGGGGCTGCGGAGAGAAGTGTGTCTGGTGTGGACATGTCCAAAAACCATGTGCTTTACAGAGTTTTCGGGGTTGCGGAGAGAAGCGTCTGGGCTGGACATGTCGGAGAGTCAACCTCTACAGGACAGTCCGCCTCCTCCTCGCACAGAATGCTGCCGGGGTCTCCCACCCGTTTTCTCCCTATCGCTTCCTTCTCCTCATCCCTGCCCCGGCACCTGGCTGTCAGGCGTAAGCCTTTAAATCTTGCATCCGAGGCACGCAAAAGTTCTTGCTGGGCTAAGGATCGCATCTGCTGGCTTAGCGCTTCAGTTTCATCTTGCTCCAACCGGTCCACTGGCTGGCCTGCCAGTAGGCAGCTCGAAAAGCCAAAACATGTTGCACTTTAAAAGCCAGGCACTCTGTCTGTCCAGGATTGTTTTAAGGCAACTTTCCTCGATGCCAGTCCCAGCTGATGTTTGCAGCTCCTGTCTACATGTGTCGTAGAATGTCAAAATCTCCGAACATGGCTGTCTTAGAATAGAGTGCATCTAAACAAACCCCTTTGAACCGATTGGCTGTCCCTCCATGTTGGATTGTGAAAACTTCACAACATGGAACAAACCCCGCTCAACTAGCTTTGATAGTCATAGACCACTGGTTTCTACTATTCTATACTGAGTGATGAGTGCGGGTTGGAATTTGGATGATGATGGCTGCCATCATTTGAATGGTGTCACTCCCACCATGATTGTTCTTATTGGTCAGATTCACATGCGAGATCAACGTTCAGCCATTGGCCCAGCTGTTTGTGGGAATAGGCTGTTCCGACCAGACTTGGTCAGGTGGATCACTTGATGGCCACCTGGCCTGGAATGCCCAGCTTCAATAAGTCACCCAATCGCATCGATGAGGCCTGTGATGGCGAGAACGGATCCTCTGCAAAATTACCACGGCAGCAGCAGAAAACAACAAGAAGCTACTAGTTAGTAGCTAGGACGCTTGGAGGCCATCGCTACTGGGAATAAGAAGCTACTAGTAACAAGGACCTGGTCGATTGCCCTTCCCCTGGATGGGAGCACGAAGGATACTTCACCTGATACCCCCTTCCTGGTCTCTGGGATCATTTAAAGCAAGTCGGAAAAGATCAACGTCTAAACGCCCAAGTGAATTGTCTGTGATCCTCAGTGCAAGGTAGGATATGATTTCACTCCCAGTATACCGGAGGCCTCATAGCTCTCCCAAAGTAGAGACTGATCAGTAGGGTTTGTGAAAATACACGATGTTATTGTTGTTCGAGAATGTTGATGGTGTCCTGTTCTTCCGATTCTTCCCTGAGAGTTTGCCCACGATCAGTCTCGCCTTCCCTTCCTCTGCAATACTCTTCCTGGGCTAGTCAGACGTTGCAAGAAGCTCCAAAAGAAGCATCAAAGGAAATATATTGGAATGAAAGGGGAGCTCCATGGATCAATCACTTTGAACAAAATCACGTCATGCCCAAGACAGGCATATCAATACTTCTTCTGCAGCTGCCGTACTCAAGCAACGCACTTTCTGAATCGGCATGCGTGGAAAAGTTGCCAATCAGCGATATAGTGGCAGCAGTAGTAGCACCCCTTTACTTCTTTACAACGTGCTTTAAGAGGTTTGCAGCTCATCGGCTGCTGTAAGAGGTCGCGAATTATGGCTGCCTAGCCTGAATCGATGGATGGCCCCCCCGAAACATCGAAAAGGGATAAGGAATCTCTTGTAGCGAACATTGTTCCTACTAGTAAGGCACTTGTTACTACTAGCGTGGCACTTGCTCCTAGTAGCTTCTTGTTCCTAGTAGTAAGGCCAGGAGCCCCTAGTAGCGTCCTTGCTTCTACGTAGTACACAATATACAAGTTTTCTGCTCATATCTGTCAAATTCACGTGTTCTCCGCCTCACGACATTCCGGGGGGGCCACCTTGTAAACCTATAGGCAGTCATGCTTAATATTTCAGGTCAGGATTATGCTTCAGTTGTGGGCCCAGCCAAGGCATGCCCGGCGTGCCCAGCATGCCCGGCTGACCTTGCCCCAAACATGTCTCATGCACGGTCATCCTCTGATGTATCACCGCCTGGGCAAACAGAGGTGGAGACCTCGGCACTGGTGGAGGTCTCAGAAGCCAAGACTTCACCCATAGCTTGGCCCGCTTTCAGACCTTCCTTGCTGGATGGATCATGTCCACAGACCCGTTTCCCATAGAAGGCGACTTTCAGGATCGCCCAGTAGCTTACACAAGAGTACATCACCAGGCTTGGCCACATCAAGATCCAATCCTTGAAGTTCTGGCAGAAGGTGGTGTCCTCAGCACCTTGTGGCTTCATCTTCAAGTGGTAGATCAGCTTGCATCCTTCTTTGTCCAGGTAGAAGAAGATCATGAAAATGATGTAGGTCCATGCAAGGCTTGAAAAGCCTGCAATCATCACTCCGGTGTTTTCTGCATCGGACAATGGGTACTGTCCTGTATGTGCTGCCATGTCATCGATCGTGCTGCGCTTTGCATTCACCAGGGCATAGTTGATGAAACCTGCAAGTCCTGTCGTTTAAAAGACACAAACAAACAATAGAAACTGTATACACAATCTCAGAGCTCAAACATTTGCAAATCCCAACACTGTTATGCCAAACCCGAAACGGTCACAGGGTTGGCAGCCAACGAAACGGGTCCTGTCAGGGTCAAGGAGCACAAAATGAAACCATAGTAGATCACGAACCTTGGATTTGTTGAGAAATAGACACTAATCAGCATCATTGGGGAACTATCAAAAATTCACAACCTGATCAGTCATCTCAGGGAGCCAGGTGCCGTAGGACATCGCAGCCGAGCAGTTGTAGCGGCGTCGCTTCACCACAAAGTAGTGGAACACCTCGCAGGCACCGATCGTCCATCGCTCGGATTGACGGAACCACTCACTGAACTCCTCACATTGCGTGGTGCCAGAGGTCGGTCCAGAGATCACCGGCATGGGGATCATCAAGATTTCAACACGCTTCTGCAAGGCTTGCATACATGTGAGAGTATAGATGATGTCCTCGGCCAACCAAAAACAAGCATCCAACCAACAAATGTCTAACAAAGAAACCATGCCATGGTAGATGAAAACGTTTTGAGGGATCTACAAGAGGCCCGAGAGACCCAACCCAAAGACCAAAGATTAGTCACGACCACCTTGAGCAATGCTGGGTGTCATCCATCTGGTAGTGCGCATGGAAGAACTCACCTTTGCCGCATGTCTTCAAAAAATCTCACTGACTTGATAGTCTTTGTCAAACAACACACATTATGTGAGCATATACGGCAAAAATGGACAGCAAACGAAGTCGCGATGTTGTGCAATCGCAACTTTTCAACAGCTCAGATTGATGTTAAAACCAAACAATCAATACAGACTCCGCTGTTGAGCCCGCCTTTAATACAAAGGTCCAAAGAGAAGCTGAAGATCGACATCGTGTTGATGTTGAAAGGGATCAAGAAGCCAAGCATGTAGGCGGCACGCATGATGCCAATGGCACGGACATAGAAGGGGCGATCCTCTGATGTTCAGAGCGGCATCGCTACGAGCGGAGCGATCGGACGCTACTGATGAGGTAAGAAAAGAACAAACCCTCTGAGGTTCATCTTCTTTCTCCCGGGCTCCCTTTGGGCCGCAATACAGATGCACAAGTCCGCACTTTGTACCAAAAGCCTTTTCCTCCCTTCTGTCCATTCCTGCGTATCATGCCTAGGGCCTCTCCAGACCACTTCAAACAATCAAGATGCTTTACATTCACAAACTCACAAGAAATGATCAAGCTTGCTCCCACAGAAGGCCTTAAGAAAACAAATGTCACCGACATGTTCTTTTTGTTTCCACAAAGAGGTCAATTCTTTGAGAGACTTTCACCCGCAAGAAGACTTTTCCTTGCAGAGGCCACTTCCTGCAATGCAAAAATGACCCAGACAGAGTTCTTCGCGCTCAACCATTCGAAGAAATGCTTGGGCGTGGAGTTGGCTATTAAATTGATTTGTCCAAGAATGTCAATAGATAACTGGTTTCTCTCTTTCTTTTTCTTTTTTCTCTCTCTCTCTCTCTCTCTCTCTATCTCTGTTGATGGCACAATGCTGACGACAAGTGCTGGACCAAACGAAACGGGTGGACCCGTTGGTGTGTTGAAGTACATCCGGTGTCATCTCTGTTCCAGAAACAACTCCAGGCTCATTTATGGCACGGGCTATGTAGGCAATTGGAACTTTACGCGCGCCCTCACATTTAACAACTGCTGCGCCGCTGGCCAAGTTGAGATGGGACCGATATCATCCCCCCTAACTGTTTCCAAGCTACGCCTGAGAGCAGTGTCGATGATGCAAAGCATGTTGACGACATCACTTGCATTATCAACAATCGGTTTTCTGCATCGCACGCAGCAACAAGATTTACAGGGGAGTAAATAGCATGCAGGTGCTATCTTGGAACATGTTAGATGCGCGTTCCAGAGTTTGAAGGATTGCATGTGGAATTGTTATTGTTCCTTAGAAGTTCAAGGGGCAGTCGCTTGCCTTCAATCCAAAAAGCAGCTGAGTGTTTTCCCAAAGTTTAGAGAGGTCAGTCTTTGGCTCACTGCAAGCCGGACGCCGTGATAGGCCAGATTGGGCCCATGAGGGAGCATGAGGGAGAGGATGTTGCAGGCGGTACTGAATACAATGCAATTTCGGGCAAATCTTGCTTGTCGCTTCCAGGATTGAGCAGCCCATGTCTTGGGCTCTGCACTGGACGCATGCAGAAGAAGTCTTGAGATTTTCTGATGTATGTGCAAACAGAAGGAGCCAAGCAACAAGTCTTTGGAGTTGCTTCTGTTGGGAAATGAACATGGTCAAGGAATGCGCAACCTGCAAAGCAGAACTCTTGCTTTTCCTGGCTTGGCCAGGGCATTCCTTTAAGTTTCTTGAGGCACCGTGCAAGCAAGGCATTTTGCATTATAGAGAGAAGATGGATCCAAAGGCTGCAAGGCAAGGAACGATGTACAACGAGAGTTGCGTGTCATGTTGACATTTCATTTGTCCATTCTCGACTCCCACCCAGGCCCCTGTGTCATGCTTCACAGAGCTGTGTCCCTGGAGATAAATAAATTCAGTTGAACAATGTGTTGCAAATACCATATGTTGATATGAAGCAAAGACACATTAATCAGTTTGTGGGCGTCAATTGTGAAAACTCAAGTTCAGCACACCTGGTCAAGCTGCTCTGGTGTTCTGGGCGGCAAGTTCGGGGGCAAAAAGAAGCTTAAAAGACCTGCATTGGACTTCCAAGGCGCATTCAAGTAGTGATTGTAGTAGAGCGGTGCTTGCCACACAACCTCTTTTGCCTTCTTGGAAGTGAGGAACTGATAGCCAAGGTTCTCAAAATAGCGTGGAGCGAAGATGGAGTCCGTATCGCAACTGGTGGCTGTGGTGCAACTCAAATCCAGATCGCCATACTCCTCCAAGCGTGTGACTGCTGCACGCATGGTGTAGTTGGCATTGGAGCACTTTCCTCGGATCTCGCGGCCTCCAGCAAGGTGCATCGCTACTAGTAACAAGAAGCTACTAGTAACAAAGGGCATTACGACAAATGTGATTGAAAAACACTGGACTCCACGGATCTCACAGCCTCCGGCCCATTGCTTTGGATGCTTTGTGACATGGAAACGCTTGAAGGACCTTGCATAGCGCTCCTTCAACCGGGCAGCCTTCTCAGCCACATCGGGCGTACCTTCCTCGAGGCCAATCACCACGATGAGCCGGTGGGCAGTACTTTGTGCTGCCAAGGAGTCGATTGACTGGCAAATCACTTCCATGGGCTCTTTATAGCCGCACATCATCACCAAGTGCTGCAAGTTGTCTGCCAAACGTCGCTCCTCTTCTGTGTTTCGAGGGATTTTGTCCTCCCAAGTGTCATCCACCACCCTGTTCATGAGGTAGTTGGCTTGAAGCGAGCGCCAGGCACACACCGTCAAAAGGAATGCGCCAAGCCAACCCACAAAGAGTCCATAGACAGCCGCAAAGATGGGACAAAAGATGTCAATCCACAAGGGAAGGGGGATGATGATGAAGTCGAAAATCAAAAACCTGGGAGCGATAGCGAAACGGAGAAAAAGAGAAAACACGATATCTCAATCCCGTTTAGGTGGCCAGTCCCACTCACTTCATTGACCTCCCGAGAAAAGCACGTCCCCTCACTGTATAGCTTGGTTGCACGGGGGCTATTCGTGTGAGCCGATTGTGACAAGAGGGATTGGATCATTTGGATCCTTTGGATCAGGCCAAAGAACAGCAAGTTCCATCGCATGATCACAAACTCATTCTCCTTCACCACCTGCTGCTTTTCATCCACCGCATACTGTCCTCGAGGTGCCGTGGTAAAAATCCTCTGCCACCATGATGGTTGCTTCTGCGCCTCTGGCTGCGCCGACATGGGATCCAATCCTATCAAATCCTGTCAAAACCTTCGCCAACAGGCACTTGAGCTCACAATTTTCACGTGCCAATTCACCTTGTCCCGCAAACAAGTTGTCAAGTTCTCAAGCATGCAACGCAAAAAGCACGGTCTGCATTGAATTTCTGGCAAGTCCTGACAGAATTCCAAGCTCGATCGCCCATCCTGAGACCCCTTGAATTGAACTAACTGGCACTAGCGACAGACTTGCAGTTCTTCCCCGATCACCAATGCGGTCAAGGCACTTCCGCGTCGGGCGGGAGACCTTCTTTGGGGAAGCAAGGTCTCGCAGCCAGCGTTCCTGCGTTGACAACAAGTCCAAACAGCCTATTGCATGAACATCCTGAACTCACCTCACATGGGTTTGTCACACATGAGAGGACGGCTTCCTTGCGGCTGCCATTTATGATTCTATGATGACCACCCGGCAAACAAGGGGTGCTCATATACTCTTCTGAGAATAATTCCAACTGAAAGAGCGGAGGTCACTTGGGCTGTAGATTCTCAGCCACACACACACAGATTCACCCGCTACAACTTTGTGAACCCAGCAAGTGTTGCTCTGCGCATTGCGACCTGCGTTCGAGGGGTGATTTGCTGGCAACTGAGCAACCCGACGTCCATCTTGGATGCTCCTGGAGTGATTGTCGTAGATGAGGTAGAGAGGGAGTTTATTTCATGAAGAATCCAAGGTGGGTCAACATCCATCAATTCCATGTCCAATTCTTAGCGTTCCGACTCTCATTGAAGGGTGTTTTTTTCTGCATCTTGCAAATGCAGGCTTTGCACAATACGTTTGACAACAGTAGGACGATGTCCTTCAGCTTCTGCAAAACCGGCCTCAAAAGGATTGACCACCTAGGAAAGAAATAAAGAAATCATCCCACTGCAAAAACTCGCAGCTGTAAACCAAAAACTGATTTGGCAACACTGTTTTGAGAGCTTTTGAGCTCCCTTGTCTGGAATACCCCAAGAGTTGGATGTCCAATCTGCAAAGATCTGCAAAAAAATCCAGCAAAACTTGGAAGAGAGAGAGAGAGAGGGCCGAGAGTCCGAGAGGGCTGAAGTTCCAGACACCTTCTGAAGCATGTCACATCCTGTCACCATGAAAAGCTATGGGTTGGAGGCAATCGCAATTAGGTTGGAGGCCATCGCTATTAGGTTGGAGGCCATCGGTGGAGGCCATCGCTATTAGGTTGGAGGCCATCGCTATTAGGTCCCTATG